TTTTTTTTTTTTTTTTTTTTTTTGTAGTGCAAATGGAAAATAATGACCAAGTAACAGGGTATTTTAAGCTAAAAGCAATACTCATGAGAAATTCTAATGTTGCTACATTATTTTGATGTAGAGATTCTGTAAAACTGATTCATTGCTAATGAAAAGATGCCTTCACTATTCTGTAGCCATTTCGGTTTCTTGTCATTCTGATGCTTGCTATTGTGAACGCTTATCAATGGCCACTCTTGAACAGTTCTTCTTATTTTAAATCCTCTTTAGTCATATGTGGGACATTTAGGCACATTATTATATTCTTTAGTGTATAAATACAAATAAACTTACTAATCATTTTTCTAACATAGATTTGGGGCCTTCTGTGCATTTTTATGTAGACAAGTAGTACTTCAATGAGACGACTGCAAAAAAAAAAAAAAGACACAAGAGGGGGAGATTTAACAAAATGCAAGTTTTCCATCATTGTTCACAAGATTATGTCTTTCCAGTAGCAATTTCAGTGACTTAATTTAATGTGTTTTAATACTGTGTTGGGGCACAGGGGGACATTTTTTCATAAGCTTTGTGCTCAAAAGGGTTGTGACTCTGAGAGGACCATGTGACTTTGCCTGATCGGTCGTGTCAGGTGAGCTAAGCTAGCGTTAAACTCTCAGGAAAAGACAGCTGAAGTGAGTGCAGCAAATTCAGGGTCTCCCAGTGGTGATGTTTTACGCGTGTTTTTGTGAGCGTGTTTGCGTGTTCAGTGCACACAGGTGTGCGTCTGTGTTTTAAAGAATGTATGTATCTTTATGGTAAATAGGTGTGTATGTGAGCTTGTGTGCATCGCGTGCGTGTGTGTGTGTGCGCGAGTCTATAAAAGTGCTTCCTGATTATATTGGTTAACACAATCTTTGATTTTTTTCTGTTGGTTGAAGTCAAGTAGCCTCATGAACTCGTGTACAGTATCAAAGCCCCTTGGTCTTATTTTAGTCTATATTGTTTGTACAAGAAATCATTGATGAGGATGTTCCTGAAAGCATGCAGACACCTATAGATATATCGGATTTATACTATTATTTATTTATTAATGTACTTATTTATTTGTCTTATCTATTTCGGATTTATTTTATACGGTTTTGATTATGTTTAGTGATCTGTCATGCCACCCTCATATTGTGAATATGTTGTACTGTATGTATAAACATTATAATGTGCATACATACGATGAACAAACAATAAATTCTTGAAACTTTATTTGTCTTGACATGTATTACAAATTATACACCAACAATATACATAAAGAACGATTTTAATTTTTGCAATATTGTCATGATGGGTAGATTTTTTTTTTTTTTTTAGATCTTATCATGAATTTAAAACCTTAAACACTGTTTATAGTGAAAAGGCTCACTGTCTTATCCTGTTCAGTTTTAGCCAAATGTTGCGTGGAGGAAGACGGGGAGCAGGAAGATTTTGTAAACAATCGTTAGTGTTGCTTGCAAAGCTAATATTATTCCTCAGATACTCTGTGCATAACTCATTCCGCAACAGGTAAGAATGATAGCTCTAAATGCGGCTGAGGAAAAGTGTATGTGTATGTGATCAGGCCATATACGATTCGCATACAATTTGCGATGTCATGTCAAATTGTGATGCAATTCCACTTATTTCTTAACGTAATGCGACAATGCTCTCTTCCAACACTAGGCGTCACTGAGGATCCAGCAAAAAAGCACTTGTTGCTCTGATGCACCTTGCACCGCCCCGCTCATACAGTACAGCACATTCTTCAGTTAGGATGAACTAGGCTATACTAACTATGCTTGCTGAGGTATTGTGTAAATGCGCTTTTATTTAATAGTTAAACATAATCAGGACCCATTCTGTCTAAAGTGAAAACGAAATGCAAATCATCTTAGAATTGTTGACTGTTTGTTTCGAAAGCATCATTAGGTAACAAGTGTCAACCTGAATAAATATCTTGCTCTGGAGTAGCTAATCGTCGAACGCAGACGGACTCATTCAGTTACCTGCAAGAAAACTGACTGCGACTTGAATACAGTGTGCGCGTTCATGTTAAGTGTGCTCTAGGGAAACCAAGTAAAAAGCACGTTTAGCACACTCTTAATGGCTTAATCAATCGTTTTCGGAAATCTGGGCCCTGGGTTATCGTTTTTGCAAATAATATATGTAGCTCTCTTAAATGAATAAACTTGCATAGCCTACTGATATTTGTCTTTCCCTCTCTTAGTTCATTATGTTCATAAACATTATAGGCTAGATCGTAAAGTGTAGCCTGCTGTAGGCTACAACACGTTTGTAAAAACGTAAAGAGCTTTGGAACATGGTAGTAATGCATTTTTATTGTTATAGAGAATTATACGTTATATTTGAGGATTTAAACAATACAAATAAATGCTAAAATCGTCTTTCAGTCAGTGATTCTCAATTGAAGCATCACGACCAAAACAATTTCTAATGCTGTTAATAAACTGCAACTAACAATAAAACCGTGCATAGTTTAGATATTGAAAACTGAGGGGGAAATCCTTGCCATATATTGTTGATGATGTCAAAGGCCGTGCGTTCAGTGAAACTGTTGTATTTTTGGCGTAAATCAACTGTCGCATATGACTAATATTAAGTAGTATACAACATTTGGCCCTTTTGGTGTTTGTTTATTGCATATGACTTAAAAATCACACTTCCGCTGTTGTTTATGCATCAACAAAATTGTCAGATGTCCTAATATATTACTGTGCATACTGTAATGTCTTAGTTTTAAATGGTAATAAAAATATCTAATTTTGAAGACATTTTGTTTACTTTTCTACGATTAAACAGTTTGGCTGTTTTGTTGGGTCGCACAGAGTAAAACCATCAAATTCATTAAGGGCCAAATTTTAAATGGTATGGATTTGTAGCTACCTATTAATAATTGTAATATTTCCCCTCAAATTAAGTGCATATTTTGACAAGATTTTACCACTGTTTTGTATGTGGTTGCGAAATGTTACGAAATTTGGACCTTCCGCACCTAGGCTACCTGACAGCTCCCATACAAACAACCTGCTTGCTGGTTTGTGAAACAGTTTTTTACTTGCCACTATGCACGTAGCACTTTTATGTTAAGGACTTTATTTCACTATTTAGACATTTTAAAATAGTTTATAATCCGAACAGATTCTTCATTTTTACTATTAATCGAATTAGAATTTTTTAACTTGTGGTTGTTGTGATGT